TCTATTAGAAGCAAAGTGTTTTAGCCCTTTTAATTCAGAAAGGAGATCTCTACCTAATAGATTGATAATAGGGACTGTATCATATAGCCATAAGGAATGCTTTTCAGTAAAAGATCCCAAAGTCATTTGTACCAGTTAACATTGGAATACTCTTTGAACTTTATTAGATACCCCCACTATAGAAACTTTCTTTTTCCTACTCTAAGGGATTTATTGTCCTATGAGAGCAGGTCTTAAAGATAATAAGCATAGCCCTGATATCTACCAGAATTTGGAAAGATTTGTCATTAATTTTAATTTTAGTTTCTCAAGGTTATTACTGGTAGCAGTTTACCAGAGAGCCCCAAGGAGCCCCATCATTGCTGGTAGAGACCCCCAGTGCAGGATCTCCCTTGGAGGACACTGAATTGATATTAAGGAATTACTGTGGGACCTTTGAGAACAAATTGTTTTCTAGTACCCCAATTGATTACAAATGAGATATCGATCCTTAGGCCCATGTTTTAACAATGGATCCCTCACAAGGTGAAATGGGAGAAGACCAGGTGTTATTTTTGTCTCTGGCCTTGGAGCTATTATAGCTGTAAAGTCAATAGTTTGACAGACGTTTGTTTATTGATTTTGTTCCAAAGTACTTTCAAAGTGCTAGGCTATGGTTCGGAGTTTGGTTAGGTCAGTGGTTTCCCATTCCATTTTCTGCCTTTTTATTAATCCACTAATATCAGGAGATTATCCACTTACAATTAGAGAAACTAGAGTATTTATTGTATGGAGTCTGGAATGCTGTAGGAAGAGAGCTTCCAAATAGGTTTTAAAGTCTGCCACAGATTCATCTTTCTTTTGTTTGCTTAGATAATAGAACAAACAGTGTGGGCAGGAAAGACCCTAGGAATGGCTCTTAAAAGATTAGTTGCTGTATTGCAAGCTTTTTCTGGTCCATTAGAAGACCATGCTGGAGATAGAGGATCTTGAATATCATCCTTGGGATTACATCACTCTGCTTCCTGTATCCCTTTTTGGGCTTCAATAGGTCCTACCAGCAAGTGCACAAGCTAATAAAGATCTGGAAGCCTGGGGTCATGAGCCTGGATAAGGATTCAAAACTCTTTAGAAAACTTGGGGATCTTCCCTGAGCTTAGGAAATTCTTTAACTATGGCCTTTAGCTTGGTCTTTGACCAAGGGGTGAAAGGTATCTGAGGAGGATTGCTACAACCTAGAGTGGTTTTATTTTAAAAGGTAACTGTTTAATAGTCTGTTCAGAGTGGAAAGGCAGTTCAGATAGAATTAGTGAAACATGAGTACTCAAGCAGAGAAGGATAAAGGGGAGCAGAGTCACGTCATTCCTATCATCTTTTGTTTTAAGAACCTCTTGTGTCTTTAATATTTCATTAGCCTTTAGTAACAAGTCTTTTAATGAAACTGTTTTAGAATCTTGAAGCTTTTTGGAAGCTTCTGCATACTAATTAAAATAGGTATCCCATTCTGTTTGTTTAATTTGGGAACCCTTACTTTCAAGTACACTTCGTAAATGAACAATCTTGTCTAATTGGAATATTCCTCATAATGGCCATTGTAATTCTAGGTTGCTTTTAGTTAGATTTAGCCATTTTTGTAGATATTTATAGCTTCCAGGACCACAGGTTTTAGACATAAAATAAGTGGGTGTGCTTGATTTTCTTTTTTTTCCTTCTTCTTTTTTTTATTTTTTATTTAAAGATTCTATTAACTAAGCCATTGGGTTTCTAAGACCTGAACCAGAACCTAAAGGGGATATACTACTGGGCTGGGGATTGTGCAGTATTCTACAGGGTACCTGGGTGGATGGAAACTTTCTTAAGTTTGGCTATTGACCTAGAGTCTTTAACCTATTCTGTGACCAGCTTATCCTAACATGGAAATCTTTGGGTTTGGTGGTAGTGCTCCAACAGCTCTTAAGTGCTTGACCAGTGCCCTCCAACCTTTGCAGCTTTCTGGCCTCTGAGATCCCCATTAGCAATGGCTTCTATCCATACAAAACAAGACAAACCAAAGATATACACTTGAATATATTAGCAGTAACGGAGATTATACCATATCTTGGCCATGAAAAGGCACTGTGTGCACTGCCAGCAATTCCCAATATGGAACTGGAGATTTGTGAAAGAACTGAACCAGCAAACTGTACAGAATGAAGAGTGCAGGCTGATTCCAAACAAATGAGGAACTGTAGAGACCACCAACAGTTCCCAACATGGAATCTGGGGACAGACCAGGGGCTGGAGCTTCCAATCAAATGAGGAATTATGGTTGGAACTACCAGTAGCTTCCAACATGGAACTAGTGATTCCAGACAAATGGAGAACTAACTGGTAAGCCAATTAGATTGGGAGTTTGATACAAAGAGAATGAAGCTTAAAACCAAGTATCAACTTACCCATAACATAGCCCTTAGAAATGATGAAAAAGACCTTGAACTCAAAGGATTTGTGGGGTGTCACACCTGTGTTTCTTATTGTCCCTGAAGTTCTTGGAAATTTCCTTTGGTCCCACTGATGCCATCAAATCTGTTCAACAACAAAAATTCAACTGACTAAATTTAAAGATCAAAGTGGCTTTACTCAACAATTCATGAGACAGGCAGCATCCCATCTAGCAAGTAGAAAGGATCTCGGCTGAGCTGTGGACAAGGAAAGGTTTTTAAAGGTGGAAAGGGGGTGGAGAAAGGAAATTATTACCAAATAATGCCTTGTCTCAGATGCAGTCACCTTCTTAAGGGAACTCAGAAGGAGTCTTATGGATAGATTATGTCATTAGTGCTGACCAGATAATTCCATGTTGACTGGTTAAAGGTTACATTCCTGAGGGAGTTGAAACTACAGTTAGGTTAGGTGTTAAGTCTTGGTTTGCTGATGTGGGATTTAGCAAAAGTGGCTACATTTGGGGCATGTTATCTTTTTTTAAATACAGTCTGTACAAGTCTTTCACATTCTTGGTTAAATTTATTCCTAAATATTTCATTCTTTTTTATATTATTGTAAGTGGAATTGCATTTTATTTTCAATTGTTCATTGCTAGTGCAAAGGAATGCAACTGATTTCTCTGTATGGATTTTGTATCCTGCAACTTTGCTGAATTTATTATTAACTCTAACAATTTTGTGTGTGTGTGTACTGGAATCTTTAGGGCATTCTACATATAAGATTATGTCATATGCAAGCAGAAATAATTTTTTCTTCTTCCTTTCCAATTTGGATGCCTTTTATTTCTTTTTCCTGCCTAACTGCTCTGGCTAGGATTTTCAATCTTATGTTGAGTAGAAGTGGTAAAAAGTGGGCATCTTTGTTTTGTTTCCGATCTTAGGGGAAAAGCATTTTGTCTTGAATAAAGAGTTACAGCCAGTACTGTTTAAATATTTTATTTTCATTGGCATGATAAAGTTCTTAGAGGGTGGAGCATGTTCATTCATGGTATGTGAGATGATTTGATGAGGTACATTATAGCAGCATTATGTAACACCAAGTCCCACTCTTTCACTGGCAGGATTTTATTTCTCACACAAAATTCTTTTTCATTTTCTCTGATTATATCAGTAAGGGAGTCTCAGTCTGGTGCTACTACATCTTTAATACTTCTTCAACACTAAGTGATTTTTAAATATTTTTAGGAAGAGAGAGCAGATTTCAGTTTCAGTGCCTTTAGAAAACGATGGTATCTATTTAGAGTTTATGGTATTGTCTTATTTTATTTGTATTTTTTGCCTTTTATTTCTGGCAAGTGACAATGATTTTCCACTTATTTATATCTGTAAAATAATTATAAAATAGAGGGACAAATTAAAAAAAATAAGTGTATTCAAGTAATACACAAGAGAATTGACCTTTAAAAAGTCATGTAAATGCATCAGTTTGATTAAGGTCTAACTTTCTAGTACCAACAGAGGAGTTGGAAGCATGTTCTTTTCTTACCAAATGCATGGGCTTTGCACAGGGAATGTGTAGATGTGTAAGGTGTAGATTAGATATATGTGAACCTTAATGATACCCCAACTTCCCTAAACCCAGTGAAGAAGAAGGGGAGATCCCTAGTCAAAGAGGGGAGTAAAGAGCTATAATTTTTTGATCTTCAGACTGACCATTCTAATACTTTGTGAGTCACCAAGGAAGCTTGTGATTTATCTATGTCCAGTCAGAGAAGATCAGAATCTCTCTGCCGAGAACCACTTTATAGTAATGCAAAGAACTGAGTGGGCATCCCATTGTTTCTGGTTGCCCTGGAGTATTGGTCATCTGAGCATACCTGACCTTAATTAATGATGGCTACGGTTCCCAGAGTGGGGCTAGACAGACTTATAAAAACAGCAATCCTCAACATTACATAATACTGAAAGGCAATCACTTTCTTACGTTTCAACATACAACTGGTATCTCCCCTCAATCACCATATGATTAAAATAAATTGCAAAGCCAGTTTTATATTTAAGGAAGACTTGTAGGCTTTAACTATATTAGGGACTACTGGTGACAAGTGGGGAAAAAAAACCCTCTTGATATAAAGAAGTATTAGTTTGTAGGCTCCTAGCCCCATCCCACAAAGGGATTGTCCAGGACTCCCTTATCAAGATAGTAAATAATAGTTCCAGTGGGAATAGCAAAAAGTCATGTAAGTGTCCCTGAATGAAGTTGAAGAAATATAAGGCTAGACCATCTGTTACTATGAGATGGATGCGTCAGTCCATCTTATCTTGATGCTACTGAGATTTGATGCATTCAATTCCCCCAGCTCTGAGTATCTAATCATCATATGACCTTTGAATGTTACTTGGCTGTTGACAGGGAGAGAAAGTGCTGGTAAGGTGGAGGTAGAGAAATCCAATCCCTAAGATAAGGATTTTGCCCTGAAAAACTATTCAGTTAACTGTTTGGTTTTAAACATTAATCTTGAGAACTTGAGTTATGTGAATGTGCAACTGAAAACAGATCCCTTGTTGGTAAAATCAGGGATTCCATCTGCAAAGCTGAGGTTAATCTTAGGGACTGCAGGGCAAGTATTGAGGTGATGACTGGCTTTTGCTGGGCTCTATACGTGACAGCTAGGCGAATTGAGATGTACCCACAGTGAAGCTCTCAGAAGGAACAGCTGGATCGTGGGCCAATGGAGAGAATCGGTTTGTGCCATCTCATGTGTCTTTTAAATAACTGCTAATGTGTCTTAGTCCCCCTCCTCCAAATAACAAATAATGAACTTGATATAAGGAATTATGAAATATCTAATGGTGGAGAATAGTTACATGTTTTTGGCAGACTATAAAATGGTAATCAGTTCTCCTTGAGTGGAAATTGATTTAACTGACTTTCTTCAGTTCTAGATAATTTTCTATTTGTAATATAGAGGTTGCAGTTGAACAACGTTCAAGGCACTCCTCTCCATTACTCTGCCTACTCCAACCCTCCCCTCTTCTCTTCTTTGTCTTTCTCTGACTTCCACATGTATTTACTGAGTACCTGCTTTGTGTCACATCCTGTCATGGAAGCAAAGGATAAACTCTGCAGATAGACACTAATCTCTTGGACCTCACAACCCCATGGGGAGTGTGGAGGGAGATACAAGTTAGTAGTCATTGCTAATCATTGCTAGTGTTTATTGAACAAATTCTGTGTCCCAGGTGATATTCTGAGTGCTTCACCTATATGAACTCACTTAGCCTTCACAACAACACTCTGAGAAAGGTATTAGTATTATCCATTGTACAGATGGGGAAACCAAAGTGCAGAGAGGTTAAGTAACTTGCCTAGTGTCACACAGTTGGAAAATGGAGAGAGAATCAGGAACTGGAATTCAAGCAGTCTGGTTCTTGGATCCACACTTCAACACATAGCATACACAGCATGAGAAGGACTCTAAGAGAAGAAATGCAAGGGTGCAGGGGATCTTGGAAGAGAGGTACTGTGTTTTGTAATGGAGGTGACATTGACGTGTTTGGAAGAGAGGAAGCCAGACATCATGGGTAAAGGAAAGCCATGCAAAGATATTGGGTAAAGATATTTACCCAATATCTTACTGAATGAGAAAAATCCTGAACATGATACATAGCTCCCAAGTTCTCACAAAGGCACCCCACTACCAATAATATCGTCCAAGAGGAGAGAGGGTCCTATATGATGCTCAGGGAAACTTCCTTTGGTCCTCATCATGGGCATGCTGCTCCCTTTTCACATTTTGGAAGAAGCTGATCCTTTGCCTGCCTGCCTACCAAGGGTGGGTCCCTGGTGATACTTAGCACATTCACATGTGTTTACAGTAGGTGTGGTGAATTAAAGGGCAGTTTCCTAGGACTGTCATTCCCCAGCAGGACCAAGCCTCATGCCTGCATGGAGATTCTTCTGGCAGCCCCTAATCCAGTCTTCCTGCTTGCTGGGGAGGTTGGGAGAAGGTTCTGGGGAAGGTGACCTCTGAAGGGTGAGCGGGAATTTAAATGTGACAGTAGTGGTGGGGAAGGGAAGAGAGGGTAGTGGACATCTGGGGGGACTACAAGTCATTATGCAGGGATGGGGAAGGATCCCAGAAGCAAGAGGCAAAGCTGGAGGGATGGATAATCAGAGACCAAATTGTACAGGGTCTTGCCATTGTGATCCTAAGTGTGAGATGTGTCCAGTGAGCAACAGAACATTCTAGATACTTTTAGAAAGGCTTTGTATAATAATTACAACTTAGATTACTAAGCATTTCCTATATACCAGGGACTGCACTAACTACATGCGTTGGTTTATTTGTTCTCCACAATAACCAATAGTATGGGCTCTATTGTTTACCCCACTTCACAGATGAGGAAACTGAGGAACAACAAGATGAAATCTGCTCAAGGCTACTCATCTAGCAAGTGGTGGAGCTGGGTTTGAACTTAGGGATTCTAACTCCACAGTTTGCGTGTTTACCCTGTGTGCTGTGCCTCGGAATTGTCAGGGTGTACCAGGCTATTGGCATCTAGAAGCCCCGGACTTCCAGTGGGCAGATTTCTGCATTTTTGTCTGGGTCTCCCTCACTTCATGTTGAACTAGCTGAACAACTGAAAATTTCATCCCCTGCAATTCAGTTTCAGAGCGTGTATGACTGAGCCAAGATGAATTTGAGTTTAATCTTGCATGCCTAACGAACTCACAGAGGTATCTCAGAAATTCTCCTGCTTCTATTAGCGAGATAGTGTGTGGGGCTTATTTCCACTGACAGGCAGTTTTATCATTATTTTTAAAGCAGGGACTTGTCTCGAATAGTTCAGGCAGTGTCAGAAGGAGAGATAACAAACCTCCTAGAATAAAATGTCAGTGCAGGAAAGGAGCTAAAAATCAGCTAGTCCAACCCATTCAATATACAGAAAGGACAGGAATTTTCCTAGTGGCCCATTCTGTATCCTCAGCCAGCTATTGGCAGGTTGCCCTTCTGGCTGCCTGGGGAGCAGTGTAGCATGAAAGAAGAGGTAGTGGCTTTAGTATAGGTGGGTGGGCTGAATTGGAATTCTGGCTCTCCCAAAGTTTTGTTTTTGTGGGATTTGTGCAAGCCTCAGGCTGATGAGGACATCCAGAGCAAAAGCTGCCCCTCAGAGGAATCTTGCAGCAGGCAAGAATATATTATAGTTAGTACCCACCTCCCCCAGGTACCAAGGTGCTCAGTCATGGGCCAAGGGCAACCCAGGGAAGCAGGGCCTTCCCTCCTGGAATGCCACAATAGTTACAAAGATGCTAAGGCTGGAGCCTGTCAACCAGCCCTGTTCCATGAAGTAGGTCCTCTTGAAGGAAGATCTGACCAGGGTAACTCCATGGGCATTATAGCAAGCCTCAGTGACTCAATGACTGCTGACCCAGTGCTCTGATGCTTCAGTACAATAAGCATTTATTGTTGGTCAGGGTGTACAGGCTGCTGGTGGTCAGAAGACCCTATCTTATGGGCTGGGTTGTGTCCTCTCAAAATTCATATTTTGAAGTCCTTACCCCAGTATTGCAGAGTGGGACCATATTTGGAGATAAGGTCTTAGAAGAGATAAATCAACTAAAATGAGGCTAGGGGGTGGGCCATAATCCAATATAACAGGTGTCCTTATAAGAACAGGAAATTTGGGCACAGATAGAAAAGATGAGGTGAAGTTACAGGGAAAAGGTAGCCATCCACAGGCCAAGGAACGAGGCCTCAGAAAAAACCAACCTTGCTGACACTTTGATCTTGGACTTCTAGCCTCCAGAATGATGAGAAAAATAAATTTCTATTGTTGAAGTCACTCAGTCTGTGGCATTTTGTTATGGCAACCTCAGAAAACTAATACAAACATCTTAGCTAGATGCTGCATGGTATTCACAGGAATATAGGGCAGGGCCCTTGTGTTTTAATAATTGGAAAAAATATTTACTAATAAAAAAATCCATTTATTGAACCTGTACCCTTATCTTATATATTTATTTCCTAGGGCTGCCATAATAAATTACCACAAACTAGGTGGTTTAAAACAACAGAAATTCTCTGCTCACAGTTAGGAAACCAGAAGTCTAAAATTGAGGTGTTGGTAGGGTTGATTCCTTCTGAAAGCTTTGAGGGAGCAACCATCCATGACTGTCTCCTAGCTTGTGGTTACCAGCCATCCTTGGTGTTTCTTGGCTTGTAGATGCAACACTCCAATATCTGCTGCCTTCCTCTCCACATCACTTCTCTGTGTCTCTGTGTGTCCTTTTCTGTCATTGTCAATCCATAGAAGTCCTTTCCCCAACACAGTTTGATCTCATCTTGATCTGTGTCTTAATTATATCTGAAAAGACCCTATTTCCAAAGATCACATTCCAAGGTTCTAGAATGAACTTTTAGGGGGCCCTTCCTACTTAATCTACTACACCACATATAATCTTCTTTTTTTGTATATAATTTTCTTTAATCGTCCAACAGTCCTTTGGGGTAAATAGAATTAATACAGATGAAGAAATGAAAGTTCAGAGAGGTTAAGTAATTTGCTTAAGGTCATATACTTGGTAGGTTCGCAAGCCAGGATTTGAGCTGGGTATTCTAGTTCCAAAATCTTCATGCTTATACTGTTACACTGCTGTACATCTGTTATACTTCTTCATGAAGAAAGGAATATTAATTCAATTACCTCCCACTCCCACCTAAGCAACTACTGATCTGATTTCTATCACCATAGCTTACTTTTGCCTGTACTAAAACTTCACGCATATGGGATCAGGCAATATATAATCTATTGTATTTGGGCTTCTTTCACTCAACATAATGTATTTGAAATTCATGTATGTTATTGTATATATTTGTTGATTATTTTATTTTCATTGATAAATATAATTTTATTGCATGAATATACTGAGGTTTATTTTGATAACATTTGAATCATTTACAAGATTTGCTTATTATTAATAGAGCTGCTCTGAACATTCCCTTTTTTTTTTTTTTGCTCTGAACATTCCTATAAAATGTTTTGCAGGGGGACACATATTTTCCTTTCTCTTGGATACTTAGGGGTAAAATTATTGGATCATTCCCTGGTGTATGTTTAACTAACTGCCAAACTATTTTCCAAAGTGGCTCTTAACATTTTACACTTCTATTAGCAATGTATGAGAGTTCCAACTGGCCCATGTGCTCACCAGTATTGGGGATTACCAGTCTTCAATTTTAGCCTTTCTAGTGGGCATGAAGTAGTATCTCATTGCAAGTTTAATTTACATTTCCCAAAGGTTAATGATCTTTTCATTTGGCTCATTGGTCATTTGAGCATCTTCTTAGTGAAATATCTGTTTAAGTCTTTTGCCCATTAAATATTTTTTTATTGTGGGCCATATGACTTATTTATATTTTCTAGATACAAGTTCTTTGTCAGATGTATGTATTGTGAATATTTTCTCTATGCCTTGCCTTTTCATTTTCTTAATGATGTCTTTTTAAAAATCCAGTTAGTTAACATACAGTGCTATATTAATTTCAGGTGTACAATATAGTGATTAATGATGTCTTGTGAGGAACAAAAGTTTTTGGTTTTTATAAAGTTTAATCTACCATTTAAAAAATTTTGTGGTTAATATTTTTCCATCCTGCCTGAGAAATCTTTGTCTAAATCAAGATTTCAAATATATTGTCTTACATTTTATTTTAGAAGTTTTTATAGTTTAAGCTTTAATG